GGTGGGGAGAGGGTGGGGCGGGGGTGGGGAGAGGGTGGCGAGAGGGTGGGGAGAGGGTGGAGTGAGAAGGGAGCTCTAGTTGGAAACGGGAAAAGGGGGTAAGTTGGGGGGGAGAGGCCAGGGTTTTTCGGAGCGTGTTGGGGAGGAGAGGTGATGTTGGCGGCGGGGTGGCGGTGGGGTTTTTAGTCCTGTCCAAGTCGCTTCCTGGGTCTGCCGTCACCTCTTTGAAAACCAGATTCCCTGGTTAGCTAGCTAGAGGCTCCTTCCTGCTCCCCTCCCGAGCCCCCTTCATGTTGCGGGCTTAGACAGAGAGCAAAAGGCCACCAGCACCACAATACAGACATACATACATGCATACACAGACACACATGACACACCGATACACACACCAATGCCAACACCGGGAACTACCCACCTGGATTTCAATTTGGATGTGGATCTGAAATGAAAAGCAATTATTGTTGAGCAATCTCACCAACTCTCACTCTTAAGGTGTTGGTGCTCTCTACACGTGCACACATACCCACACACCCTCTACCCCCCCCGCCCAACTCCAACCCCAACCCTCAACCCCTCAGGAGGCTCAGGCGGCGGCAGGGTGCCCTCAGAAGGCTCCAGGGGCGGCCCCCACGGCCACCGCCGCAACCCAGAATGCTGCTGCCACAGCTGCTGCTGCTGGCGGCGGCGGCGGTGCCGAGCGCTCGAACCCCCCTGCCTCCCCCTCCTCCTCCCCCTCCCCCTCCTCCTCCCCGTTCTCCGGCGTCAGCGGCACCATGGGCTGGGACACCTTCCACCTGGTTTGCAAGTTGTGGGTGGAGCAGGCGGACACCAGTGCTAAGCTGAGGGACTGGGAGCTGCAGGTGAGCCGGGGGGGGAGGGGGAGGGGGAGTGCGTGTATGTGAGCGAGTGCTCTGCGGAGAGTCAGATGATGTGTGGGGAATGTCACTAAGATAGTTCAGCAAGGGGAAAGGGGGGTGTGGGGGGTGGGGGCTGTTAGGGTGTTTTGTACGGTTGATGTGTTTGTACGGTGCGCTCCTTTTGCGATCGTGGGAGCTTCGGTGCCCATGCAATAACCCTTCGCCCCTTCGGCCCTCTTCGGCCTCCCCCTTTCTTGACTATCCCTCTTCCTAACCACCTCCCATCTCTTACATCGCCCCCTCTCCCTCCCCCCTCTCCCTCCCCCCTCCCCCTCTCCCTCCTTCCTCTCCCTCCCCCCTCTCCCTCTCCCCCCCGCCGGACAATCCCCCTTCCCTTCTCAGGCCGTGTCAATGCGGTTGCTGTGTGAGATGTTGGCGGTGTTGGTG